CTATTATATATCGTATAGGTCCTATTGGAACAACCAAATGGACCCCTTCTGAGACCTTCCTTAACAAGGTCAAAGAATCAGAGATTCCACTCTCTACCCAATTGAAAGTTAAGCAGTTCAAAGGCAACACAGCATTTAATGTCTGTGCACAAGAAATACAATTTACTAATGACACTGTTAAAAAGCGTCAGTCTCTAGCTAGGACTCTGTTTAATAACATAAAGTCCAAGCCCGAGGTCTTTCAAACCATATTTTTAAAGGGATTAATGAAAGACAATCCTGAAGCGTATACACATATAATGCGACTATTTAATAAGTCAGGTGTATCTAACGCACATGAGCGCGATTATGACGCTCATGCAAAAACAGGACAGGAGTCTGAAAACACTACAGACTTAGAGACCACGCAAGTGGATTCTCAACACCCTACCTTTATTCTGGAAGAGCAGAATGATGAAAACATTCTTGCTTGGCTGAAGCAACATCATAAGCTGAAGCACCAGAACGTAGTAGAAACACTTAAAGATGCTAAGCGAAATGGGATCGCGCACCCTAAGCTGGCAACTTTAGTTGACATAGTGTATCAGTCATGTACAGACTGTGATCTCAACAAGCGCTATGGGTTCGCACCGCCTAAGAGTGTGACTGAAGATGCTCCATGGCGCAGGGTCATCATTGATCTGGTTGACCTGCCCACGTCCGAGTACACAGGCGACCGTTACGTATGCCACTTCTTTGATGTGGCGTCACGGTTTAACTTGCTCTATCCATTAAAGGGTAAGAATACGCAGACCGTGGCAGAATTATGTTGCCAAGTCATCTATATGGATAGGTCCATACATAATCTCTGTAGCAGACACTTAAAGTGGAACGTACAAGGTAAATAACCCCGATGGTTCTAGTGCGCTTAATATAGGCACAAGTCGTATTCCGAATACAGAGATTATACTCGCAAGAAGACATAACTCTAATGCCCCTCTTGATCGTTCTCAATTTAAAGACATTATATGGAGAACGGATAAGGGAGGCAATACATACTATCGTACACGCTTTATAGACGGTACAATCGCTGAGTTGACTTCAGATGCTTTAGATAATCAAGACTATTTAAAAGCCTTTAATCGAAAATGGCGTAAACGCCTGCATAAGTCACAAGCTGAAAAAGATAGCATGTTGGCATCGTATGAAGGCACGGAAATTAAAACTTACCCGCCTACAGCATATATCCCGAGCTTTAATGCTCATTCTTCATGTGTGTTCAAGACACTCAAGCGTAAGAAACGTCTAGTCGACCACCACAGGGTAGCCGAGAACGCTTAACCTCTCCGCCTGAGAACCATTTTACGTATCAGATATTTGGACAAGGCCATTAATAGGCCCCAGTAAAATACCAAACTTAAGAGTTGGTCTAGTTCTATTAATAGAACTATATTTAATTTCCAAATTTATTTATATCTGAATACTTCGGTAGCGAGATGGCTCAACCGAATATAGGTTTCTGGGGACTATTAACGTTACCTAGTTTATCCTCCGTTCAGCCAACCAGATGTGCCAGTCTGATGGCGACTAAGTCGGTAAGACAAGTTATTGGTTAATGCAATAACTAAGGACATCAAGAGTATTTTTTATTTTAACTTTAATTTTTCTAAAGATAGGATTTTATGAGTCTCTCTGATTCGCCCCAACGAAACATACCATAGTTTCTAATAGAGCGACAACAAAACACCAAATAAAATCCCTTCGGCAAAAACAGTACTGAGAGGATTATACATAGGCATTTTCTCAGCCTCACAATCCCTCAGAGTATTGCTGTTTTCACGAGGCATACCTAGCTTTACTAAGAGACTCATTTCGTTTATTTACTTTGAAATTATCACGGTACTTGGATTTTACCTACGCGTTTAATTACTCTAAGGCGTTAATATCGCCTTGATAGACCAAATCTTACAAAAGCGAGTCGTGTCTATGTATTTGTACATGATGACCACGCACTCGTACATATGAATATATTTATATGATGATGATTATACAAAGCGAGCTACAACAACAACAGCAATATTTATATATCATGTATATGAACAATAATAAAAAGAAATGTCATCAAAATAATTCTTTCATCAATCACTTTATTACCTTCGTCTATATATGTGCACATTCTCTGTATTTGAGATTATAGATATGTCTTGATTGTATCTTGCTTTCTGTGTGTCGGATTTCTTCGTACATTCCAGTCTGGCCTTCCCAATCCTCTTTCCTCCACTTCACCTGATATATGTGTCATAAGAGGTATTATGGCAGACTTGGACACTAAGGCCGCATCTTGTTTTTCTTCTTCAAATGTATCTCATCACGTATGAATTGTTTGTCAGCTTCTGTAAGGTCTCTACTCAAATATTATGTCTGAAAACCCCTCACACGCTCGTAATATTCTTCTGTAACAGTCCCGCTCCATTCTTTGTTTGAAACTCTATACTCTGATCTAAATGTATTACTTTTGCGCCCTTCAAATATATCCCTCACGCCAATACATGCATTATTAAACTCAGTTTTTGAGATGCCAAGATAACCCTGTCCTTCTACATCGTCAAAACCGATACAATAACTATGTAATTTAGCTAGGTACATAAGTAGCTCAGGAACAAATGCAAAGCTAAATTGTATCGGCTTCCATAGGATACCCCACTTTCTTACAAATATCCCAAACGCTCGCTCAATATGCATACGCGTTTGGGATTGAAAGAAATTAAAGGCATCCCAGTTTTCGCCCAGGTTTCTCCCTGGACAAGGAACAAGCATGAATTCATCACCCGTGTACGCATTATCACCTACTACATAATACGGTCGAGATAGCGTCCGAATCAGATCAAAAAAGCCACAGGACTCTAAGGCACGCTTGTCATGTACCAAGCCAAAAGATGAACAGGAAAATGCTGTGAATCGATAGCGATGATCACAGATTGCTTGGCAATTCACTCCAAGGGCCATCTTATGGCCAGAGAATAAACGTTGTCGCCTAGGACACTCTTTTTCTGTCGGTAGTTGTTGTGTTTTGACAAAAAGTCCATCTACTGCTCCTACACAGTGAGTAATGACTCCAAACGTTGATCGTTGCCTGAATCCTTCGGCTATAACTTGCACTCTTGTGTGGTAGTAGGAAAGCGTATGCTCAGTGCATCCAGATTACTGACCTCGTTGATTGCACGAACTACTCGTTTAAATATTGCATATACAGTGCCTTTATGCACTACATGTGTGCACGTGAGATCTGCTACTTGCCCCC